CATGTATTTTTTCCTGAAAATTTGCATTTGATCGCTGCATAAATATCATGTGACATAATAAAATTCCAGCACCCACTATTTTATTCTCCAGGGGCTTTGCTTCCAGAATATATACAATATAATGTTTGTGGGTTCTAAGTAGTTTTCAAGCAAAAAAAAACAGATTTTTACATGTATTTATGTTGTAAAGTGCTGTGTAAACTGTTGGCGCTATATAAATCCTGTATAATAAATAATAATAATGTACACTATATTGCCAATAGGGGGTATTGGGACGCTGTCTTTACACGCACATGAACGTTAATGGCATCCCAGTCTTAGTCCATAGCTTTCAATATTGAGTTGGCCCACCCATTGCAGCTATAACAGCTTCACCCCTTCTGGGAAGGCTGTCCACAATTTTTGATTTTTATTCAATCTTTGAAACTTTTTTTTTACTATTTTTTTTTATACTTGCTTTCATCAGAGTAGTTCAGTGTTGCCATAGCTACACTGTACTACTCAGGGGGTGGTGATCAGGGATTTTTTTTTTTTTTTTTTACACTGTGATTGCTGTTACAGTGATGATCACTATAACAACAATTGTTACGTAAATGGGTTTCATGCATAACAGCTGTATTTATTGTTGGCATGCTGTGATTGGCTACAGCGTATCACATGGTACCATGTGATAGCTGTGGGCCAATCACAGCATCACTACAGTAAGCACAGCTGTTATAAATGAAACTCATTCATAACAGTTGTGTATACATTGTGATAATGTGATCACATAGCAATCACGTGATACCCTAGCTGCTCAAAGTTACACTTAAGTTAAACTTAATTTCTGAGTTTATTTGTTTTGGTTTTTGTATGTATGCTTTGCATGGGTTGTTACAGACATGTGGTGAAAATTTCATGTCAATGGCACCTTTAGAAATATATTTACTGAGAAATGGTGATGTGTTTAATACTTATTTTACCCGCTGTATATCTTCTTACTGGTCCGTTGCGCTTCCCTTGCGGTGTTAAAAATCCTGCTTGCTGCATTTTTGGTGCATATTTGGTGAGTTAAAAAAAAATAAAAAATGCACTTCCCCATTAAGGCCTGGATCACACCAATGCGTTTTTTGGGGCTTTTTTTTCAGAAACTCACTACTGTCCATTTAGCATGGTTTTCTTGAGCTGCTGCGTTTTTGGAAAGGGTCAGGGACTTTTTTAATAGCAAAACATTGCATTTTTGGTTCAATAGACTTCAATGGAGACACTACAGAAAACCCATGTAGTGCATTTTGATGCGTTTGCCCTGTTTTTTATGCGTTTTTGAATCTCCCCAGCCATAATTTGGCCAAAAAATTAAATTGAAAAAATCCAAAACGCATAAAATGCGTGCTAGATGTGCATACAAACATGCAAAACAAACAAAACGCAAACTGCATTAGGGTGAACCAGGCCTGAAATGCACTGAAAATGCATGAAAAACGCACGAGTTGCATTTTTATGTATTTTGCATTTTTAATCTGCCCAGCAGCAAGTTGGCTAAAAATGTTTTTAAAAAACATATAAGAAAAAAGCATCAAACAATGTGCGTGCAAAAACGTGTGCAAAATCCCAGCTGGTGTGAACCAGGCCTGAAATGCATTGAAAATTCCAAAAAGAATAAAAAAACCGCACGTGTTGTGTTTTTACTGGGTTTTTAATCTGCCCAGCAACAAGTTGGCTAAAAACAATTCTAAGAAGGCAAAACGCATCAAAAACGCGCATGCAAAAACGCACTGCAAAACGGACAAAACACAAACTGCATTGGTGTGAACCAGGCCTGAAATGCATTGACAACCCATCAAAAATGCACACATGTTGCGTTTTGATGCATATTTTTGAGTCACATGACCTATGAAAAACACCCCAAACGTGGTAAAATCACATTTTTTATGCAACCATTATCGGCACCTTTTTTTTCTATCGACAAAATGCCGATAACATTATCTTCGGCTGATGCATTTCGGCTGCCGATATTTCGGTGCATCCGTAGTAACCACTGATGATTTCACTTCTGCACATGCATTCTAATCACCTAGCTCATATTCACGGCATCTTACAAATTTCGGGAACGAGCCAGGACTGAACACTGCACTGCATATGAGCCGCAGTGCATGTACGAACAAAAAAATTTGATTTTTTTCTACTTGCTTGCCTGTAAAAATCCATTTCTTTGAGTACAGCACAGGACACAGAGCAGGTTATAATACATAACTATCTGGGTTATGTGCCACCTATAGGTGAATGGATACTGGCAAACCAGAAACACATAGGAAGTCCTCCCCTATATAACCCCTTCTACACAGGAAGTCCCTCAGTTTTGTAGCAAGCAATGAACTGCCAGAAAGAGGGGCGGGACCTCTGTGTCCCGTGATGTACTGAAAGAAATGGATTTTACAGGTAAGTAGAAAAAATGCAATTTCCTTTTATCGTACATTATGGGACACAGAGCAGGCTATAATACATAATTATCTGGGATGTCCCAAAGCAATGCCCTGGAGGGGAGGGAGACACACTACAAGAAATACCGCCACCAGCTAAGGAAATTATTCCGCCGCATGTAACACACCATGGCCAAAAGCAGTATCTTCTGTAGCTCCCACATCCACTTGTTAGAACCTTGTGAATGTATGAACCGAAGACCAGGTAGCGACCTTGCAAACCTGAGCCACTGATGGCGAATTGCTCAAGAGGCCCCATATGTAATACCCCCTTCAAAAAAAAGTCTGAACCAGAGAGTGTGAAGCTTTTGGTCTCAAAAAATATAGACAAAGCATAAATCTGGCTCTTAATGGTGCCTAAAGCCAACTTCATCTCTACTCCAGACTGGAGTAAAGACAGAATTCTCCCAATCACATACTCCCTGGGATGCCATTTTCTGGCCTTAAACCAGGCAATGTAAGATCTCCACACTCTGTCATAGATGTTCCTAGAACACACCTTCCTGGCGTTCAAAAGCATAGAGACCATTGAACCAGAAATCCCTCGATCCATGAAGATCTGGGACTCAATAGCCAAGCCATCAAATTCAGTGAACATAAAGCAGGGTGGAACATTGGTCCCTGAGACAGCAGGTCCGGCTGGGCCGGAAGAGTCCAAGGCCTATCCACCACCATCCTTACAGGCCCTCCTGAACCAAGCCGGGGCTACCAATATCATTCGAACTCTCTCTTCCCGCATCCTGCGTAAGACATGGGAGAAGCTGATTTGGGGGAAAAGCATAAATTACATAGAATTGGTCCCAAGGAACCACCAGAGCTCTGCCCCAATCGCAAGTGGATCTCTTGTCCTGGATACAAAATTACTCAATTTGTTGTTGAATCTGGACACCAATAGATCTATGTCCGGGGTACCTGAACACTGGCAAATCACCAGAAAAATCTCCGGATGTAGACCCCACTCCCCTGGAACTAACTGCTGGCCACTGAGGAAATCCATTTGCCAGTTCTCCACCCCCAGAATGTATACTGCTAACAGACAAGGCACATGCAACTCTGCCCAATAGAGAATGTGGTTCACTTCCTTTTGAGCTGACCAGCTCCTGGTTCCTCCTCAGTGATTGATACAGTTGCAAGAAAAAGTATGTGAACCCCTTGGGATTATGTGGAGTTTTGCATGAATTGGGCATAAAATGTGCTCTGAACGTCATTTAAGACACAACAATAGAAGAACACAGTCTGCTGAACATAATACTACACAAACATTAGATGTTGCCATGGTTTAATTGCACATAACATGTAAACATTCACAGTGCAGGGAGGAAAAAGTATGTGAGGCCCTAGCTTAATGACTTCTCCCAGAGCTAATTGGAGCCAGGAGTGAGCCAACCTTGACTCCAATCAGTGTAATGATATTGGATGTGTTGCTGCAGCATTACAAGGCACCTATGAGGGCTAAAACATATAGTCTCCCCCATAAATATAAGCCATTTGAACTCTTGTCAATCAGCCCTCTCACCTTCATGTAAGAAATAGGAAGGGTGAGCCAACTTACCAATGCCGCCACAGGATTTTTGTCCATAGACCAAGAACCCAATCATCACCCATCATGGCAGGCTTTGTCACAAAAGGACCTTCAAGGACTCAGTCCCCTTACCGTTCCTTGGGACTTCTGCCTTGGACCTGTATAGCACCCTGCCGGAAACACCTTGGCAAGATAAAAACTGTACAGGGTCCCGTTTACGCAGGTTCTAGTGCTGAATGGCTGCATTACAGGCAATCCCTGTGTCCTCATCTTCTCCGCAGGGCTGGGTACCATACATTCTAGCTTCCAGCCATCCGAATGGATCCGACCATGCAATTCCTTGATTCTATTAGAACCTTTCTGAGACCAGCAGTACTCTTACAGAGAGCTAAACTTCTGTGACCATTACCTTTAAGACACTGGCAATAAAAATTGAGGGACTTCCTGTGTAGGAGGGGTTATATAGGACAGGACTTCCTGTCTGCCAGTGTCCATTCACCTATAGGTGGCGCATAGCCCAGATAGATTTGTATTATAGCCTACTCTGTGTCCCGTGATGTATGATAAAGAAATATTGGTTTTGACAGAAGAAACATATAAAGTCTCCAGAAATATCTACCTGCCTACAAGTTTTGCTTTAATACATGACAGTGGATTTCCACTGTGGGTTGGCATTGTCCAATTGAACAGATGCAGCTCTCCAATAAGGAGTGAGTCACTGAGTTAGTGAGTGAGTGGGTGTGTTTGTATAAATTTCAGTTTGAGCTATGGAGGTCTGTAAACAGGATTTTTTTTCAAAAGGCTGTAAACTGATAGACACATGTGAAGGAACATATCCTTCTGGCTAAAAAAAGCACAACAGGCCTGAAAATAATAATGAAAATGTGGAAAACCACTATACATTCACCTTAAGTGATTGCCATAATTTACATAATAGTATACATTTATTTCTCATAAGTAACCGTATTTTTAAAAATACTTTTGTACATATTTACTATGGATTGCTTTGCTTTTGGTTTAAGGATAAACAAGAAGATGCCCCTGCAGACAAACAAACTAAGGAAAAAAATGAAGAAGCTGGCCCCTCTACATCACAGAGTGTCAGAGGAGTCAAAGTGGAGTCCAAGAGACCAAGAGAAGGAGGCAAAAGGCGGAACCTCCAAGGCTCAAGTATGTATGGAGCATTGAATCCACTATGTCTGTTTAAATCTCTGTGTTCACAATGAGCCTAATGTACTAAAAGATATGCACACAGTTATGCATTGATCCTGCCTGAATAAGCAAGCTGTATGCACAACAAATTTCCTATGTGCACAAATACATAGGCTACACAATATATGCAAAGATTTTACTATCAAGGTTGTTATGAAATGTATACTGCAAAGCTCAAACCAGCAAGACTTTAGTGTACTTAAAGTGTTACTAAACCCACAACAGTAAAATCAGTCTGTAGATGCAGTAAAGCAAGCTTGTTATACTCACTGTGGAACCTAAAGGGTTAATCCTCTGCATTGTGTAAAAAGGCTGTTTGATTCTGACTTCTCTGCCCCTCCTTTTGTTCAAATGTCTACTCTGATAAGACAGACTGAACCCATGGCCCTTCTGCACATGCTCAGTTTAGTGTGCATTGCTAGAGAGGTTTTTTTTTCTTCTTGGGAGAGTGCATGTGATCAGCACAGGGCCAATCAGCACTGTCCAGACAGAGGTCAGGGGTTTTGCATCCTCTTAGAGCAGAAAAAAAACTCCTCCTACAAGCTTTCACCAGTGCTGTGCTGAACACTGATAGAAGTCACAAGACTGCTCTAACTACTAAGAAAAGGTATTTAGCAGTTTATATTTACTGAAATAATTGCACTTCCATGTTCTGTGTACTGTGGGAGACCAGATATAGTGAATGCAGAGTCCTGGGTTTAAAATAAAATATGGAACATTACATCGTAGACTAGCAAAGGCAGACAAAGACTATATGGGGCCAGATTAAAGTGTACCTAAAACCAAACCTTTAAAGGAAGAAAAACACATTTTTTACTGTTCAGTTTCCTATGGGGCACAGTGCATGTAGTACTTTGTCCCATGGTTCCTACCCTTAGCTATGACTGAGTGCCCCCTCTCCCCTGGCTGTGACCCGACAACTAGCTAAGGAGACATCTGCATGACTCAGGTCCGAACACCTTCCTGAAGTAAGCACTTGCAAAAATAAATGCTGAGGGATAGAGGGCCTGTCACAATCCTGTACTCTGTATTCCTCTTACTGCCGCATGTCTCAGGAAAGTGCGTGGAGCTGAAACAAGCGTAAAGGGAGTGAGCAGACACATTTCCAAGTGAAAATAAAGGAGAAAAAAAGTCTTCAAAAAGGCAATGAATGCGGCCATCACATCGAAGAACTAGTAATTTTTTTTAGGATTAGGTGTGCTTTAAAACAGAGAGTAGATACTGATATCTGCTGGACATCGCAGTATTACTCCACACTGTGGCCTGTACAGGCGTACCTCGGTTTACAAATTTAATTCATTCTGAGGGACTTTTCGTATTGCGCAAAATTCGGAAACCGAAACGCGGTTTCCTATAGGAATGCATTGAAAACCAATTAATCTGTTCCCGAGGTCAGAAAAAAGTACAAAAAAAAGTATTTTATCTGTTCAAAACTCTTTATAAAGTGCACTTTAAAGGCATAAAGGGACATGATAAAAAAAAAATCATAAATGTATTGAAAACCAATGAATCTGTTCCGGAGGTCAGAAAAAAGTAAAAAAAAGTCTTACCTGTTAAAAACTCTTTATAAAGAGCACTTTAAAGGTATAATATTGTACAGGGACATGATTAAAAAAAAAATTGTAAATGCAATGAAAACTAGTTAATCTGTTCGTATTGTGAAAGAAAATTAGTAAACCGAGCCATTATTTTCAATGGAATTTCATTCGTAAACCGAAAATTACATTAACCGAGGCATTCGTAAACTGAGGTACACCTGTATTTTTTTTATTTTTTTTGTCTCGTTCATAAAATGTCGTGTGAATCTTGCTGTGCTTAACAGTGGAAACACAAAGATGCTGTTGACAGCCAATCAATACTTTTTTTTTTTTTTTTGCCATTTGGTACTTTGGATCGCACATTAAAAAAAAAAACATATCTTGTGTGTATTCTAGCCAAACTTCTGATTGGATCTTTTTTAAAAGCACTGTTTGTAAATGCAAAGTTGGGTTTATCTTTTTGTAGTTATATCTTGTAAAATGTACACCAGCACTCATTACATTTTTAAGTAGATCCATATCATTTCTATACTGTCTCCTATCTCCTGCACAGAAAGGGGTCATCGATGTTCTACATATGGCTGTAATCGATCGTTTCTCACCATGCAAGATCTTATTAACCATGTGGCTGTCCACTATAAACCCACTGAGTCTATGCAAGGTAAAAAGTCTACTAGAAATGTTTTCCTATCTGGTTTTATATCCTTTCTTCACTCTGGAGACTATTTTGTGGACTGAAGCAATGTTATTGCCAATGATGGTTCTGCCCATGCATAATTGCAACTGATCTTAGACTGTTTTTTCACAGTTTGATGCATTACGTTTTTAAAGCTGAAATTTAGGAATTAATATTTTTACATAGTTACATTGATCCAGCTAGGACGACTAGAAGTAAATATGTGCCAAAGCTGTGGGATCCTTGTGGAAGCTGAAAATCACTGTAGTAGACACCGCTACTACAGTGCTCTCCACTAGCGTCTAGGGCACGGGTGTCAAACTGGCTGCCCTCCAGCTGTTGCCAAACTACAAGTCCCATGAGGCATTGCAAGATTGACAGTTACAAGCATGAGTCCCAAAGGCAATGGTATGATTGGACTTGTAGTTTGGCAGCAGCTGGAGGGCCACCAGTTTGACACCCCTGGTCTTGGGGGTTGCTCTCAGCATTCTCACCATTCACAGAATGGCTTGCATTTTTCTCAGTAAATGAAAGGTGTTTTCTGACTGGACAAGGTGGAATTTGTGATACCACCACCCCACCTCTCCAACTTGTCTAACTGGAAAGCAGTTTACAGTCATTGAGAAAATGCAAAGTGTTCTCGGAATGGCAAGGCAGCTGCTCAGCACAGGAACTGATAGCTAGCAGTGATGTAAGCTTGGACCAGTGTAAGTATGCATGTGTCCTACCTGGCCAATCGGGTAAGCAACACTACTACAATGATTTCCACCCGGGTATGGTACTTATACATACTTACATTGGTCCAAGCTGGACCTATGTACAAAAAAGCAATGCCTGAATTTACGCTTTAAGAAAAAAATGTTGTTTGCCTAATTTGTACTTTCTTAATGCAGACTTTGCTAAAAGATTTGTGTGCATCTGAAGATTACACTGCATACATCTCCTTTTTAATTTGAAAATACGTACTGTATGTTAGAGTAAAATTTCAGAGTTTTGGGCTGACCAGTTTAAGGGCCCATTTACACCCAGATGGTCAGTCGTGTGCATTTAACGCACATGCGTTATTATTATCATACAGGATTTATATAGCGCCAACGGTTTGCTCAGCACTTTACATTATAGTGGGAGACAATACAGTAACAGTACAGTTCAATACAAGAGGGATTTGAGGGCCCTGCTCCTTGGAGCTTACAATCTAGGAGGGAGGGGTTAGTGGTACAAAAGGTAATAACTGTGGGGGATGGAGTGGTTGGAAGAGTAGAGGATTCCAGTATTAGCAGAGGGCGGGATAGGCTTCCCTGAAAAGATAGGTTTTCAGTGATCGCCTAAAAGTAAGTAAAGTAGGCGATAGTCTACTATGTTGTGTTCCAGCGTTATGTTGTGTTCCAGCATGCATTGCATTAAGTCTATTCATTTGGACTTCAAGCACAACACAGTGGTTCAAAAATCAGACATGCACTATTTTTTTTTTTAATGAATCACACCTTACATTGCAATCACTTGTTTAACTTGCATTGTGGTGCGCTATAACACAGGTGCATTCCCTTACTGTGTTGGGGTGCTATTGGAAATGAAGGGCTCCACAATGTACCAACACGTATGGAGTGTGTTGCAGTAACGGGCATTGCCACTATGCATAGATGCGAATAAGCCCTTAAAGCAAACCCATGCTGAATGAAATATTTTGACTAACATTACTGATTCCTTCTGAAAATTGCTTGGTTATTGCAGTAGTGCTTTGTCTTCAGTACTTTCTACAGATACTTATATAGTACTGACAATTTATGCAGCACTTAACTGTACATTGACATCAGTCCTTGCCCTCAAGCAGCTTACAATCTAAGCTCTCAGTCTCACATGCAAAAATATACAGTACATACTAGGGCCAATTTAGAGTGGAACCAATTAACCTACCAACATGTCTTTGGTGTGTAGGAGGAAATGCACACAAACCCAGAGGGAACATGCACACTCCATACAAATAGTGTTCTGGTTGGGAATCAAACCATGGACCCCAGTGCTGCAAGGCATTAGTGCCAACCACTAAACCAGCATTTTCTTGTAATAGAACAGCTGAAACATAACATGCATACAAGTATGCAAAGGATAGTAATATCCATGTGGTCTTAAATTATTTGCTAAACAGCATTCCAATTTGGGGGGAGGTTGGGTGTAGGTTACCATTTGAGGGCATTCTTTATCATTTACACAAGCTTTTATGGAATACTTAGGACAATTCACATCAGTTCTTGCTCCACATAAGCTTCTTGCGGTCCTTATTGTGATCATATAACAATTGCAGGTAGCAAGTTATATTTTTTGCACCCAAAAACAAACAAAGCATACAAATTCCCATTGATAGAATACCTAGTGGGGCTTATGACCCTAATAATGTTGCGCTTTACTTGACCTGCATACTTAATGTACATGACTATTAGTAAAAGGACTATAACAGCGTGTTTTATTTCTGGCTGTATTTTCATTTGCAGATAAAAAGTTCATATGCTCAATGAATGACTGTGGTGAGACACTGGACAGTATGCAAGACCTTATGACCCATCTTAAGGTCCATTACAAGCCAAATCGCTATTTTAAGTAAGTCTGTTGAGCTGAATTTGGATTGGGGTCAATTATTGGCAAACAATAACACTTACACTTTTAGTCCTTAGTGGAAAGCATGTGTAGTATGTAGATGATTCAAATTTTTAGAGAAGGATGGTATATTCTGCATCCCCTTTTAGTGGGTAGCACTAAAGTAGACTCTTCTCTTCACTATACAACATGCACTTGACGAAATAAGTGTAATTTAGATCCTGTTGTAACACAGTGTTTTTAGTCATGTTCTTTAAAGCCCAACTCCGGAAAACTTGAAAGCTCTCCCTTGCAGTAGGGCTACCCCCTCACTGCTTGTTTAGGTCTAGGGAGCACAGAAAAGAAGTTATTTACCGATCCTTTGTGCTGCTAGACTGGTGCCCACAGTGTCTCCTCACCCTTGTTTCAGTAGTCTAAGGCAGTGGTATCCAAAGTGTAGCCTGCGGGCCAGATGCAGCCCTCTGCTTTGCATTATCTGGCCCTTGGGACACTATTCATCCCACTGACAACACTGATAAGGCATCATTCCTCCCATTGACACCAATGATGGGGCACTATTCCTCCAACTGACACCAATGATGATTCACCAAACTGATATAAATTTTGGAACACTCTTTCTCCCACTGACACCAAGGAAGGGGCACTATTTCACTCACTGACAGCAACAATGGGACAGTATTTCTCTGACTGATACCAACAACAGTGGGGCACTATTCCTCCCACTGACACCAACAATGGTTCACCATTCCTCCCACCAATAAACAGTAAATGTTGGAACAGTATTCCTCCGACTGATACCAATGAAGGGGGCACTCTTCCTGCCACTGACACCAATGACAGGGGGACTATTCCTCCCACTGATACCAACAATGGGGCACTATTTCCCCTCCTACTAACTACAGACAATGTTTATTGACAATGGGTCATTTTCTACTCCCACTGGCCACAGTTCAGCCCTCCAAAAATCTGAAGAACAGTAAACTGGCTCTTTGTTTGGAAGTTTGGAGACCAGTGGTCTAAGATCCTGATTTCACCAAGACCAATGCAGGGTCTATAGTGCATTGAATGTGATGATATAGAGGGACAGTCCATCGTTGGAACATGGGAAGCATGTTCAGGGGAGTGGATGATCGGGTGAGAAAAGTACTTTTACTCTACCTTGTGGGTCGACAACTTTGCGGGCAGGTGACGGATAGATTACAACCATGTCCCTGCTTTTCCTACCTGCTCTATTTGGGCACCACTCCTTCCCCCTTGCCTCTGCCACTCTCACAGGAGAGCAGGAGGCAGCACAGCTCTGGACAGAGGGCAGGAGCTGCTCAAGTTAACTTTTTAAGTTAACTGGCAAGTGATTGGTTGCTAGGACACAGGGCAGTCCTAGCAACCAATCACCAGCTTGTTAATATGAAAAGTTAACTCCAGGTCATTACTGGCAAATTATACTACTATGACGCACTGTTCTTCTTTTTACTGGGGGCTTGATAATTTTTTTTTTTTTTTTTCTTAAGGGCACTGCACCCCAGGTATTTTTGATCTCTTCCATGTTGTCCAGGTAGATCTCCACCTCTCAAAGGTTGCCTACCCCTGCTCTACCTTAAACCTAAATGAGTAATTAAATCTTGCAGTGCGGATGCAGCCCTGCTGCAAGGGAGAATTTCCATGTTCCCCCGAGTTGGGCTTTAAACAAGGTCAATGTAGCTTTGAGATTGTCATTCTCAGTTATGGAAAGCATGAAGATGATGGAAGCAGTGTTCATTTCATTTTATGTCATACTTCAATTGTGTTTTATACTTAATTGCTTGTTATATGTAAGATTTTGGTGTTTGAATCTGTTGGATCCTGGTACTGAGGTTGGAGTGTCCATACTGAACACTGATTCCTCTCTCCCTGGCCACTTTGCCCATCACACTGAATTAATTTTGTAGTGCAGTTGGCAGAGACTGATGAGAGACTAAGAGACTAGTTCCCAATCAGGCCCACTTCTCTGTTGACTGACAACACAGAACAGTTGGTGGGTGCATAGCTGCTATTCAGTTTAATAGCGGCTTTTTAATATAGCCATTGCCATCCATATCTATTAAAAGTAAGGCAGACCTAATAGGGGAAACAGTCTGTCAATTCACCATTAGGCTTCACCCACCCAGTGGCTGAAATAATTTCCCTACTATGAGCATTGCCATATTTTGGTAATGGCATACCAGTATCCCCAACCACCTTGTTTACATTTAGCTTTGGGGCAGGGAATCTCTTGGTTGCAGCTGAATGGAATCAGGTAAAGATCTCTGTCCAGGAAGCTGCCACATTCATGACCGCTTCCCAGCAGTCATGCACCACTTTGAGCACTGGCCTACCTCTGGTCTTCATTACTGCTAGTTTCCTAATCTGCAAAATGGCAGTGATTCTTTAAAAATCTGTCACTGCCATAGTGACCGGTTCTTAGAGTGGTATGTCGCACATGTCAGTAATGAAACTGGAACTGGCTAAAAATACTTTCCTGAAGTAGCAAAAAAAAGGAAGCCACCACCAGAAAAGTGTCATTAAAGCTTCATTGAATTCCTCAGAATAATGTTTGAGGAATCTATCCAACACGTAGTTCAGGAGCATAGGTATTTCATATAAATGTTGGCAACCAAACGCTATTTTAACAGTTTCATGCATTTTCCTTCTATAGGTGTGAGAACTGTATGCAGCCATTTCGTACACACCGTTCACTGTTTAAGCACCTTCATGTGTGTTCTGACAACCTTTCACGCTCTGACAGCATCACAACCATGCCTCCACCCACTGATATTAAGCCAGCACCAGCAGTGGCTTCAGGGAGCCGTAAGACAAGTGTTATCCAATGCGTCAAGAAAGACACTCCTCTCCCAAAGACTGAGGATCCAACAGCATCCATTGCAACAGCTTCAGTTTCCTCTGTCCCTGGTGGTCAACTGCCTTCAGTGAGCAAACTGACTTCTGAGACTTCTAACTCTTTTCCTGCCCATAGCCCTTCTTTGTTTACAAGTCGTCTCCCAGGTCCACAGCGGTCATCCGTTACCGGATCCTATCTAAACTACCTCCACCAATCGGCATACTCCTTACCTCAGGGTGCAGTCCCACAGAAACTTAGGCCATTCCTTGGGAATCAAGGCCTTCCTGTCTCCAACGCCATGTGGAAAAAGAACCAAGGTCAGCTAGTGGGTTAGAATGGTTGTAATATATTGTAATTTTACATTTCCTTTCCATTTATTACATGTACTGATGATTAAAGCGGAACTAAACTCTACTATGCTTCATGGTCATGGAAGCTGCTATCTTAGCTTCTGTTTGATCTGCAGTTTCCCTGGTGCTGCACATGATCAGTTATGACACCAGCCATTTGATCATGTGCAAATGGGTTTACTTGTATTTTATTAGCACCCCAAGTCGCCTTGCCAGCAGATGTGCATTGTTGTGCACGATGTCACAAATTGTAGTACATGCACCCTTTTTTTATTTTTTTGGTAGCTTTGGTGTTAGGGGGCCACTCAAATAAATGTGCTGCCTTAGTGCTACATGTAATAATTTGTGCATTACTGCACCACAGATTTGTGAACAAAGCCTAAATACCACACAGATTAAAGTGGAACTAAACCTTCCTGTCCTTTACAGGCAAAGAAGCTGCCATCTTAGCCCTGTTTCCTCTGCAGTTGTAATGGTGCTGCATATGTGATCAGTTATGACACCAGACTTTTGATGGCTCGACAGTTTGGTTGAGAGCACAAGCAAATGTGACGGTAATCAGTCCCGGCATGCCTTGAAGTAACTGTTTTGAGAAACTGGTAAATTGATGGGTTTATTTCTGCCTTTAAAGCGGAGTTCCACTCACACTGTAAAAAAATAAAAGTCAGCAGCTACAAAAACTGTAGCTGCTGACTTTTAAAAAACAGCCACTTACCTGTCCAACGGTGCCTGTTTACCAGCCGTCCTGTATTCCAGACGCCGGCATCTTCAGTGTGGGCACCCGGCTGTGACAGCTTGAGGCTTCACAGATGGGTGCCCACTGCGCGAGTAGCGCTGCGCTCCCTGAATGGCCCATCATCTTCTGGGACCTGTCTTGTGTCCCACAAGACTACGGGGAGGGAGGGTAAGAGGATAACTTCCGCTTCCGATCGCCTAGGCGATTGCAGCGGAAGTGGGAGCGGGTACCTGTCAATTTCGGGTACCCGCCCCCAAAGATGCCAATCCTTAATGAGGAGCGGGGGACCAATCTATAAAGCGGAACTTCCCCTTTTGGGTGGAACTCCGCTTTAAGTAGAACTAAACCCACCAAATTAATGTCTACCGAAACAGTTACATTCAAAGCATGCTGGGAATGATAACAGTCACAGTCACTAATGTGCTTTTGATAGCTGTCAAATGAACTGTCAAGCTATCAAATGGCTGATGTCCTAGCTGATCACATGTACATCACAATGTTGCAGATCAAACAGAGGCTAAGATTGCAGCTTCTTTGGCTTTAAAGGGTAGGAGGGTATAATTTCACTTTAAATTGTGTGCCGCACTTTGGGCTTCAGATAACTTCACAGAGAAGGATAAGAAACATAAACTATAAACTAATTTTGGAGTTTTCAATATTTTTCAGATGTGTATAAATGTTCTATATAGCCACAGTCAGAGCTGCCTATATTTAAAAATCTGGAATAGTCCATTTTGTTCCCTTCATGATAAACTCCAGTGATTTAGACATTTTGAGAGCAAATACTTTTTTAACAGTTGGGATCTACAGTTACGGTAACTACTATGCATATAAATGCATTCTTGCAAAAAAGAAATATTAGCTATTGGATGTCATTAAACTGATGAAACTAAAGCGGAACTAAACTCTTTAAAAAAAAATATTGAATTGGTCTCTTCTGTAATAACTACTTCTCCCCTGCTGGTCAGTTTTAATGTACATTGAGCAGCACATGTGCAGTCCAGCATGCATTTACGGTACCTCTCTGTGCTGTGATTATGTGACTCCCATGCACGGGACTGACATCATCGCGACAGAGCCAAGCGGCCTAAAAAAAAATAGTCTGAATTTGGAAGGAAGACCAGAAGAAGATGGAAGGCCAGAGCACTGACACCACAGCACTGGAGGGATCACTTGATAAGGAAGTCAGCCATAATGTGCTAATATGTTGTACATACCAGGACATTATGACATATAGCTCCTGGGGGCATTTTTTACTTTTTTTTTCTTCTCTCTCTCTCTGTCTAGGTTTAGTTCCACTTTACATTCCACTCCTAATTTGTTTGACCAGTGTCTGGCTGTTTAGTTAATTTCATTTGCCCATTCTCCATATGATCTTCACATTCACGTATTCATCTTAACATGGTGCAAAACTTAACACTTGTATCATGCTTATGTTTTAGGACACACAAGCAACAGCCGTATTGTTTGGGAACACACCAGAGGTAGCTACAAGTGTATGCAATGCAATTTTACTACATCCACGAGGGACCAGATGAATAAACACATTGAGGAAGTACATAAAAATCCTGTATCAGCCAGACCTCGGGAAGATATAGGTGGGTAAACTCCATTAAATGCCATAGTTGTTGCATAGGTATAAACCAGTGTGTGTTTAGCAGTACAAAGATGATAAGCACAGTTATGCAGAAATGTTGAGATAGGCAAATGATGAATTCCCTGTGTTTTACTGTACTTTGCTTTCCACAAGCTATCTGGAATTGGCCTTTTATGAGGCTAGGTTCTAATTGTAACAAGATCCTTTCAATTTCCCATTGCCGTCCGCAGTGGCCTGACTTCACAGAGCTTCTGAACTGTTGGGGGGATGGGACTTCTCCTAAAACCTCCAATGTGCAACTGCCTTTCTTTTTTTTTTTTTTTTTTTTTTTTTGACAAAGCACCTCTAAGATTATGTTTTTAAAGAAAGTTTGAATCAGATTGGTAGCTTTGAGAAACATCTTGATACTGATTTGCTGGATGCAATTGGCTTTCTGTATTTGAGAGATCACAAGGAGACTACAGAATGTGTGTTTGATCATTTATGTCCTGCATCTACCCTATTTTAATGCACACTGTCATAATTGGGTAGAAGTTTATACCCTTGTTGTGGTTATTTGTATTAGAACAAAAGTGTCTATCTTAGTACCCTACAGTGCCTCTCATATGATTTATAGGCTCTGGCATGTAGTCATTTTGTCATACCAGAAACTGTCATTAAGGTGCTCAATCTCTGCCCTCTCTCCTACCTCCAACTAGGTCTCCTAGGGGGACTGCTGGAATCCTTCTCCTTGGCAGTAAGTCTGCCATCTTTGACAGTTTCTTAGAATATAGGAGCTGTCCTGTATAAAAATGAAATTTCATTAACAATTTACACAAATCAGTGTAAATTTTGCAAAAAAAAATATGCAGAAAATATTTTGCATCTCTTTGATGTTAATAGCCATGCTTGAGATGCTCCTGTCTGGAAATTTGGCCACTGCTATCCCAGCTGAATGGTGTGGGGGTTAGATTACCGCAGGAAGATAAATAATTGCAATAGCTATTCTCATAACCCTGTTCTCAGAGGCAAAGACCTTGCTACAACAAATCAAATCATTTTATTTTTTTCTAAACTTGAGTTTCAGTAAATGAATTGTTTTTCTGGTTTTATCATGGCATCTGTTTTACTGAATGACAATAGCAGTTTATTACAATATAACAATTCAAAATGTACTCTCTATTTGATTGGATCACACCAGCTTAGTTGATTTATACTAAAAACAGCACATATGCACACAACCTCCTACTAGTATAGAGGAGTTGTTTAGTGTTATGAGAATGGAACTAGTAAAATGATTTACACTTACTCTGTGAGAGAGCCGTGGAAAATGCTAGTTAAACTGGACCTCAGTTTTTCTTGTCCTGTGGATAGAGCAGACTCCCATAATGCCAGTGTTCTGAATCATTTAACCCTTTCCCTGCCCGGTCCATACGGCATATGGACCTACAGCACTGCTTCTAGCTGGCCATGTCCATACGCCTGTCCTTTCATCTGCTGTGTCCCAGTTGACATGAATTGGACTGCCTGCACATGGATGCACAGGACACCTGTGCATCCCCATGCACGTAAACACGGCCCTCCATGGGCGTACGCTTTACCACACCCCATTGAACGGGGCCTAGTAAGAATTTACATTTGCACAAACATCGTGGGGCCTTAAAAATCAGTAGGACCTTCTTTTTATCCTACTGGTCATGTGCTTTTAGAAAATATATGGTTTGGGGGGTCTTTTACAAACTGAAAGCTGTAAGTGAAAAATGAAAACCTGCAGATTTCTAGAGAAATTTGGTTCTTTACAATTTTGTGTATATTCGATTTTTCACCACTTCGCAAAAAGGCTCAAATTAAAATGTACAAATATTTGGTATTTATTAACCATGAGTGTGAGTTAGGGACCTTAGATTGTACACCCCTTGAGGGTTAGGGACTGATGCGAATGTACAATATATATGTAAAGCGCTGCGTAAATTGGCGGTGCTATATAAGTATCTGAAATAAATAAACTCAATACAGGTTAAACTTTTATTTTTAGTAGGAATTTTGTAAAATTTGCTGTATTTGTATCTGCTAATAATGGTTTAGTGTATTTTTAGCGAAAATAATGATTTTGTAAACATTTGTGCAAATATCCTGGGGCCCTAAAAATCAGTAGCATCTTCTTTTTATTCTACTGGTCGTGTGCTTTCAGAATATATATGGTTTGGGGGGTCTTTGACAAACTCTAAAGCTGTAAGGGAAAAATACAAACGCAATAGAAAAATTGCAAAAATTATCGTTTTTTTTGTTGTTTTTTTTTTTTTTTTTTTTTTGTTTTTTTTTTTATCTGGCCACATGGGTTTAAAAGTGGAGTGCAGGGCCTGGCAGCGAAAGGGTTAAAATAGGAATTTATATTATTTCAGTGAAGTTTACTGATTATTGCAATCATTTTTAAGCTGATAAGCAACATATTGTAAAAAACTGTTTTATTTTTCATATGAATAGGATTGGCGTTGTTCCAAAAACAAAGTAATGTGCAATACCTTTTTAAAGGATAAGTTCACCTTTGGAATATGTTACATGTTCCACCTGCTTTTAGGGTGGAATGTGTAACATGTTCCAGCATCTGAATCCTCTCCCCCCTCCCTGTGACAGCAGGCGGTGGATCTTCTCCCTGCATCCACTCTCACAATTTGAAAACAGCTTGGCTGTGTGGGGATCTGCCTACACGACCACGTCATTCATTCACAGTTTCCTGTGAATTAATGAACTTCAAGTACCATCAGCCATTGCAGCTGACAGCTTGTAGTTCTTAAGGAACTTATGAGGGTGCTGGTGAGCGCTCTCATAGTCCATTGATCTTCCTGCTCTCAAGTGACTGCCTACTGATACTAAATATGGGCAGACAGCTATTCTGAGTGTCTGTAGGAGCTAGAGATTGCATTTGTGGTCTGCTGATCATGAATGCAGTGCTCTGCAGGCTCCATAGAAAGAAAATAATAAATGCATTTTTTTTACCCGCAAAAGAAATGTGCATTTATTTTTTTTTCCCAGAGGTGAAACTATTCTGTAAAAATTGAGTCAGAGTGGCAAGTCATTTGTTCCTCCTATAGATTATAAATGAGCTATATTATAAGACATGATCAACACTTACCCTAAAAAAAAAAAAAAAAAAAAAAATCTGATGCTTGGACAAAAATAATTTTCAAAAATAACTAAGCATTTTTCTCATTCTTACTATAGATTTTGACATGGATCTTCTCCCTTTCCACTCCAAGCTGCCGGCAGAAATGGAACCCAGCCTTTTACCACAGGTCTGACAGAAGTTGTCGAAGGCCTTCCCTTATCATAACCCAGTGCCACCAGTTTCTTGGTGATGGTGCCAGCCATCCTTAGTTAGGAAAATGTGCTTTCACAAAACAAGAATATTTTGAAATGGGCTGCTGTTAAATATTAAAATTGGTGGACTTGAAGAAGTGAATACAGACGTTACAGTGCAACATTACTCATTTAGAAAAAAAAATGAGCTACTCCTTCAATACTGGTTTCACAATCTTACTCTAAGACGTATTTGGTGTTTTTCCACAACTATTTTGTATTCACGCTTGCTTATTTTGAAGCCATCTTATTTTTACTGCAATAGGCACACATGGACGTGCTGGTAATGAAACAAATCATGATAACCTCAGGTTTTCCGATCACTGGAATTTAAAAATGATTATTAAAGTTGGGTGCATGCTGGCTTTTTAACCTACTGTCACCCATGCACTTACCTGTAAAACTAGATTGTGCTCTATAATATTTGGACATCTGTGTCACAAAGGCAGGATAGACAGGTTGCAATTTTTATTGCATTTGGTACCATGCGAACAAAATACAGTACAAACATAAACTAGGACAAACTAGTTAAAATCAACGAAAATATGTAGCTGGCAAGACTGTACAAGTAAGAACATGAAAGGAATGAGGCTGCCTTTTAAAACAGGGGTTGTCCATATTATGTGGAACGTTTACAGCTGTTTAAAAATCCAGTAGCAAAATAATACAACACCTTCAAATTTTACCCATCACCACCTAATTTCAGCTGAATACAAAATCTTAAGCTCCCAGGGCTAAGACAACTGCCACGCATATGAAAAAGTATGCTTAAGCTGAAGGGGCAAAAAAAAATTAATGGAATGGACCTCTACATAAAAAGTTTCCAGTCCAATTAGGCCTACATGCAGTATAGAGGTCTCTATTGTCCCAGTGAGGGTCCATTCATACCAGAATTCAGTATGCCATGGTGAGCTGATTTTGGAAGCCTATTTGAACCGAATGGGCTGTAACGCACCTCATTGCATGAAAAAATAGGTCCTGTTGCATTTTTTTGCAGGGCACCATGTTGAACATGCCAAGGGGTGCCTTTCAAAATGAAATGCAATGCAATAATGCATTCATGGTATTATGGCACATGGTTGGCTGTGTTCCTCTATGCCTCTATTCAGTGTGCTGGAGATGATTTCCACCATATCACAATCATATGATGTAACCAAAATTCAAACGATGTTTAGTGTGCAATTTTCTACAGACTTTAAGTTTTATGTTTACACCAATAACCTCTCTGGGATGGCAGCTCAAAGTCCTGCAGTTTGGCAGACGTACACATTTATGCTGTTGTATTTGGCATTTCTAGGGTGCAATGTGTGTCCGTATTTCCATGAAAAAGGTCACACCGTAAACTTAGTCAAAAAAAGGCTTTGTTCTACTTTTTAAAAAAGTCAAACCTGTACTATACTACAGAACTATTTAGCAACATAGTCCTGTATTCATTGAGATTGTGCATTTTCTCAAGATGGCAAATAACTGAAACGGCAATAGCAGGAATTGTTGCTACCCTGCAGAATGTTTTTTATGTTCATATAGGGAAGTGTCAGTGACTTACAAACCTGTGTGTTTAATAATGACAGATCTGGGGACATTTGCATGCAAGGAGCTTAGGAGCCCTCTGAAAGTGGTCATGGCAGCTGATGATTTTTGGAGTCCTAAGTTCGGCTAATGGAACATTTATTTACAATCGATTCAGATATGGAATGATAGCAATGTTTACAACTGATCAAAGATGGTTCATACATTGCGGATAGAACATCCCATTTCATTTTTTGTAGACTTTGAGATGTAAATAAGTCATGTGTATTTACTGAGTTCCAGGATGTTACATTAATCCTGGACCAGCATTTAGAAATAAACCTTTTTTTTTTTTTTTTTTTTTTTTAATGTTTTTTTTTTGGTTTTTTTTTTTAAATATTGTCACATAACTCAAACTTTATTGACCTCAAGTGGGTGGGGGGCTGCTAAATATATAGGATTATATCTGGAGACTTTTGGGGACCGGAAAGCGTATTTTGTGATGGATGTATTTCCAGTTTCTGAGTAAAGTAAATCTGATAATTCAATACCAGTGTTTATTTAGAAGGGAATGGTGATGTAGAAGATTTTTTTTTTTTTTCTCATTTTTGTATATAATTTTACTAGAGGAAACTTTTTGTCAGAAAAGTGCATCTAGTTATGTTTTGCCTAAATATTTGTATGTCCGTTGCTCTTATCCTTAAAATGCATCCCAAAATATGTGAATTTACTCTCATTAAATAAATCATGTGGTCCTAAAACAAGCAAAATTGTCAGTTTTGTTTTCATTATATATGTACATTTTGAAAATTCGCAGGACAACTCCAATTTTCAATAAATGTGGGCAATATATTATCAGTTATGTTAACTGCAATTTAATGGTAGGGGTTTGTTTTTTTTAACCGTACTATTTAGTATCTTATTTTATTGTAATGATCATATGCTCATTAATGCTGTGCACTTTGGGAAAGCACCATCTGATCCACAGACTTCAAAGGGTTCTTTCCCATGGACAGCAGTGCTTAACACCCTCTGAAAAACGATTGGTGACATAAAGGATTTTACTGGTTTAATTGTACAAAAAATAGCCACAGGGAAATACTATACTAGTATAAACTAACAGGCTGTTTTTTAGGGTGCACTTGTAAGTGAATATACCTGCATTAGTAACTCCTCCCCAATATCACTCATCTACACAGCAGGAGACATATAACATCCTATCCATAGATATGAGTCCTAAATATCTACATAATCAACTGATTGCATAGTCACCAAGTAGTCTTAAAGGGAACCTTTCAATAGCATTCCATAGCCCTGTGTAAGCTCTGAAAAGTTGATTTTGATCTGACTCTTGGCTTTTTTTTTTACCCAGACAGCAACCCATTCTTCTCTTTTTTTTGCATGCATACACAAATACACTGTATTCATACTTTACTTTCCATTTTTTATTTTATACTTTATTTTTTTTTATACTTTACTTTCCAGATGTCTTCTGCTGGCTACTTTAATCAGCCTCCTTGGATCTTCTCCTGGCATCATACTCACCGATACCAATTACCGATACTTTGTGGTGCGATTTGCATTAATGGATGCAAATTGCACCAGAAAGAATAGCATTCAGTTTCCCCACTGCTCCTGTGTGAACCCAGGCTTGTCATAGCCCGAGTTTACACAGGAGCAGTGCAGGAAACCTCTCTGCTTGCATCCCATGCTGAGTCTCAGTGGTAAGAGAGGAGAGAAAGCAGCGGGGATTTGAAATCATCGACGCTTCTTTTCTCTCCTTGCAGGAATGACCGTTCAGAGGACTTTTGATTGGTCAGCAGCACCATCACATGGACAGTGCTGACCAAGTAGATGCCGTCTAGCCCGAACTTTCATCACTGCAAGTAGAGGAGAGAAAGCTGCTTCACAGGTCTGGGGTTTTGAAATGGAAATCTGGAAGTTGTGCTACAGTTGAATAAAAGACTTACTCTTTAATGCAGCCTTTTTCAACCAGGGTGCCTTCTGGGTTCTTCAGGGGTGCGTTTGCAAGCTGCTTCAAAATTACCCCAAATTGCCCAAAAATTGTCAACAAGCCAGCAAGAGGATTAAACTTTCCTTTTTGTTACACAAAGCCACAGGTTCTGATTGTGCATCATTACAACTGTGGGCACTGTGTGTGCCAGCCAGTGGAATCCTAAAAATCGATGACATCAGATGCTTGCACAGCATCTTTGTTTGCCCATTTCTTGCCCCTTTCCATCTGCACCGGGGTCACATTAGTGTGGGGTAGAGACTGATGAAGGAGAGAAACTGGAATACTAGTCAGTCAATGCAGGTGTAGTTGCTTTGTAAGAATAAATCACCTCCATTATTGGGTGTCCTAGATGTGTGGATGCTGTTGTGATATGTTTTTTTTACATTTTAGAATGGGGCGCCTCAAGGTTGTACAGAACTTTAAAGCCTTGACTGAAAAAGATAGAGAAACACTGCTTTAATGTGCTCTGAAGCAATTGTGGAGTGCTTTACAATATCATATAAAAGGTGCACCCAATATATAAAGCCTGTCGAATAACAAAAGGACACACAGTGATACTGTATATAGTTCATCTGCATCCCTTTTTACTTTTTGTTATTGGTATCTTTATACTTATCCATTAAGGATTTCCAACAAATTTTCAATTTGTGTGTGTGTGAAAAATGTTAAAACACCATGTGTAGGAAAAGTGCATTGTGTAATAACTAGCACATACTGTAATTATGATGATCTAGTGTGCGTGATTTGGTGTGGAGTGAACTCCGGCACATAAAAAGCCACAGTGTTTTTTGTTTGTTTATTTTTTACCAACATGGTAAAAATGGGTAAACCTGCAGCACTCCAGAGATCTCCATCTCCCAACAGTCACAAATGGATAAGGACATGCCTGAAAGACCTAAACTACCAGACCTCCAGGCCAATATAGCATCTGTTCCCACCACTCAAGAATATTCAGAATGGGGCCCTGCAAGCATAACACTTTTCAGTACATCCATCAGCTGCCTATCAGGTTAGAACTCACTATGTCATTGATATCAAGGGTGCCTTACAGGCTGTGGTGTTGGAACTTGACTAGATCTCCAGGGCCTTGCTGGCAACTTGGACGAAGTGGATAAAGCGGGCATCCACAGAGATGAAAAATGCTACACGACAATCCGATACATTAGTCTAATACTCTCCTAGAATTGTACCACCATATAGAGGATATTGCCAATCAGGATGCTAGAATTGGTCAAATATAAACAATACTGCGACCAATTTAAAAGCATCCCCTAGATAGGACCCACTGACTCCTGGTGTATCCCCCACTGACAGAAGTCGTTGACCTCCAAGTCTCCAAGAAAGAAACACAAGAGTAAGTGTTTTCTGCATGCAGAGTTTCTCTCTCAAGGAGGAGATCCTTCATAAGCTCGAATG